GGAGTGACTCCTTACAGGTATAAACTTGGAATCCCTGCCAGGAAAGTGAGTTTCCCAGGCCTGAGAGTGACAGGCCCTAAAAGCAGGAAACACCCACCTGCCCAGAGAAAACCTCTCCCATGGGTGTGTCTCACAGGCCCAGGCAAAAAGGATGGGAGGCCCAGGATGGGCAGTGGCCTCCAGTGCCTGGGTACTAGTTGGCATAGTGGATGGTCCTACATTGCCAAGGAGGAAGCTGCCCCACCCCAACAAAGTGGGGACTCCTTGTTTGCAAGCAATAATTAAACTAAGTGAGAGCGCTGGTGGCATAGTGCCTAACCCATTTGACTGCTAACCAGAAGGCTGGTGGTTCAAACCCACTAGCCACTCCTCATAAGGACGGTTGGGCAATCTACTTCTGTAGTGATACTGCCTCGGAAACCCAAGGAGGGATTGCTATGAGTTGGATCCGACTCAATGGCAGTGGGTGGTGGTGGGTGGGTGTCATTCACTGGAAGGGTAAAAGATTGGGACTCTTTCCTGACCACTTCCCTTCTCCACAGTGAAAGGTCAGACTAGGGGACCAGGCTTGGGAAGGGGGCAGGAGCGAGGGTAATGCCATAAGGTTGGGGCACAAGATCCATAGGCCTCATCTTGCAGCCCAAATACTTTAGCTAGGGTATTAAAAAAAAAAAAAAAAAAATCCACTTGCCATCGAGTTGATTCTGACTCATAGCAACCCCACTGGGTTACCAAAGCTGTGATTCCTTATGGAAGTAGATTGCCTCATCTTCCTCCCAAGGAGCAGCTCATGGGTTTGAACCACTGACCTTCTGGTTAGCAGCCAAATGCCTTACCCACTGCCCTTTAGCTGCAGTGTAAGTGTCCTGTAATTGAACGTCCCTGGACATTCATCCTACCCTGTGTCTCAGAGCCCCAGGAGGATCATCCCGTTGGCTGAGGCTCCCTGAGCACAAAGATCTGGCCCTCTAGCTTTTCTGCCTGGAATCAGACCTCTGCACCTCCCCTCTACCAGGGCTGGCACAATGGGGGCAGAGAGAATTCTCCTAAAGGAAATTAGGTGGACGGATGCCAGACTGTCAGAAATGACCAGTGTCTGTCACAAGCCTGAATCCACCTCAGCCAGTTCTCTGGTTGAAGCATTACTCTCTCTGAAGGATAATTGAAACTGGCAAGCCTCTCTGGGTGGGATGACCCAAAGCCTGCTGGTAAAGGCTCTGGCTTAGCCTTGCTCAGGTCAGGGTGGGAAGATTTTCTCCAAGACAGAGTAGAGTCCAGAGGGTCTGGAGAAGGCTGTGCTTCCCACACATACACACCCAGGGGTGGCTATGATGTATCAGGCAGGCCAGAGTGGCTAGTGATAGCATTCAGGCCCCTCCTCCACCTCCACTCGCCCCACCACCCAGGAACCCTGAGGCCCTCCTTTCACCCAAGCAGCCTTAAGGACAACACCTGATGCCCTGGCCTCTGCCTCCATCCTGAGGACTCAAGGATCATCGAGTCTGCCCAGCAAGGGCAGAGGCTCAGAAGGGGCTCTCTGACCCCAGGGAAGTCCCCACTGCCAGTCTCAAGTCAAAAAATCAACCAAGTTTGTCCCTGAAAAGTTTGCAGCAGTCTCTCTCCACTCAGATCCTTAAAGGGCTTTTTTATTTTTAACATTTTTCCTCTGAATATAAATGTTCTGGTGCAAAAGTACTGGCATCTGTAGAGGGAGTTGAAAGTCCATGTGGAGGAAGGAAGGGGCCAGGCAAGAGCTCAGAGTGATCCTGGGATGGGGAGGGAGACTTCACAGCCTTGCCCAGCTGCTCAGGGCAGGAGGAGGGGGTGGGTGGCCTTTAGCCAGCCAGGGGCAGCCCGAGGTACTACCCTGAAGGGTAGCTCGGGAGATTGTGATACAGGTGAAGCCACGTGAGTGTTCACGGCCCTGGGAGGCAGAGTGTGATTCAGTTCTTCCCTCCACTCCCCAGGAGGCCTGAGCAGACTTGCCAGGCCACTCCTGCAGACAGGCTTCCCAAGAGATCTCAGATGCTCCCCCTCACCCCACCCCATACAGGGCTTCCAGAAATAAGCTGGTGCTGAGCCCAACTGGGAAATGCAATGTCACCCCCGCCCCTTCCCTCTCTCACACCCTGTGAACCAAACCCATCCCTAAATTTGATCCTGTCTTCCAGGGTGCAAGGAAGCGACACCTGGCCTTCACAGATGGGGATACACCCTATTTGCAGCTTGCTACTATGTAGGGTGGGTTCTTCAAGGTTCCCATGACATAGTTCCAGTTATAGTAGGAGCTTCAGGGACAGCTTGAATTTATACTTCTCAGGAGAGAGGATTTGATTGGCTGTTTGCTTTCATCCAGATCGAACAGGGTGCCATGTAAACCCCCTGCTGAAGAGTCAGCACCCTGCCCATAGACCAATGCACCAGTCATCTGTGGCCAAGAAGCAACCATGCCAATGGATGAATGAATACAGTGAATGAATGAATGGGGCTTTCTCCTGGGCTCTTGGTCACACATTATCACATTCCCTTCGAAGACTTCTACACCTCCACTGAAGCTTCTTTCACACTCGGCTTCTCCCCGAGTCAGTGTGGAATGGGCTTGTTCTTCCCAGAAGCAGAGACGCTCAACTCGGCTGCTCCCTGCTCCCTGCTCAGCAGCTGTATCTTAAAGTGGTAAATAGATGCTTCCTGAATTTAACAGACACTTGAGTAAGACTTTCTCAAGCAGAGGGATTGGGTCTTATTTATATGTTATCCTCTCTCTCTGAGCCCTTACAATGATTTACAGTGTTTTGGGAGTTGCCATAGAGTCAACTCCAACATGGCGACTTTGTGTATAACAGAATGAAACATTGTCAGTCCTGCACCATTTTGATGATTGCTGGTATGTTGAGTCCATTGCTGTGGCTGTTGTGTCAATAATATCGATATGTTGATATCAATGTATCAGGCAATTCCTGTTGCGATCCCTAAGGTTTTCATTGGCTGATTTTCTGAAGCAGGTCACCAGACCTTTCTTCCTACTAGTCTGTCTTAGTCTGGAAGCTCCACTGAAACCTGTTGACTAGGAGTTAACCTGCTGCTATTTAAAATGCTGGTGGCACAACTTCCAGCATCACTCAAGCCAACACAGTATGACAAACTAACAGATGGATGATGGTTCCATACAGTCGGGCTCTACAGAATGCTCACTGAATCGAGTAGGGAGCATTTATGGATCACCTACAGACTGTCAGATACAGTGCCCGGCCCACAGGGAAGTGAGCCCTCACTCAGCATTTGATATGTGCCGGGGATTGTGGTAAATACATTTAACCTCATAACCACCCTATGGGGTAGACACAATTATTGTCCCCACTGTACAGATGAGAAATGTGAGGTGCAGAGAGGGCACACAGCTTGCCTGTGGAGTGGAGCATGGGTCTAGCCAGGCAGTCTGGCTCCAGAGCTGACAGTCTTAACTGCTTTCACAGGCTGTTTCACGGTGGTGTATGTGGCACCTAAAACTTCTGGAATTAAACAAGTGTTCTTATGTAGCTACATCAAATGTAAAACACAAAACCTGTTATAAATTAATCTGCCCAACAGACTCCATGATGGTCACACCCTGCCCACCGCTTGATGGATGAGGGATGGAGCTAGTATGCTGCTTCACACATGACTTGGAAAATGAAAAGCTGCAAATTGAGTGATCATGTTTGTCAGGCTCTGTGAAAACATCATAGACTCTTCCGCCAAGAGGCTGAGCTGCAATTCCCCAAAGCAGAATTGTGAGAGAACAACAGCTGGGTATATTTGTGACTTTGACCCCACAGCTTCCAGACCAAAGGAAAAACAAGCAGGGAAGTGCCCACATTACACTGGTACCCATACCCCACAAGGTCCATGCCAGGGAACGGCAGCTGGGACATTAGCCAGCCCATCCATCCACACTGGGGTGGGATTTCCATAATCAGCCCCCCTGGGGGCTCAGACCATCCTTTAAGCCTGAGGCTTGGTCTCTGCCAGTACACATGCCACATCCTGCATTGTGAGGACAGATCTGCCCGCCTGTCCCTCCACAGTCAGATGGGAACTGGTCACCTCCAAGTTGCCTCTGCTCAAGGGCAGGAAGCCACAGCTCCGAGGAAGTGACTCTGAATACCACCTGGGCTGAAGTATTTCCCAACCTTGAGTCAGAAGGAACATGGCAGAGGGTCGTTTCCTTTCACTGAATGATTCCGTGACCAACCATCTAGTGCACTAGATGACTGACCACCTAGTGCAGTGGGTTACAAAACCTTAGGTACTCATTAAAAACACAGCTTCCCAGGCCCGTTTCAGAGCTACGTAACCACAGTGGGGAGCAAGACCCCGTCCTGAGCATTCTTTCAACCTTCCCAAGTGACTTAGTTGTGCAAGCAGTTTGGGGGTCATCATCTTACCCTCCCCTCTCCAAAGTAACCTTGGGCCGCTCCCCATACACGATGCCCCAGACATGCTGGCTATTTCCTGAACCCAAATTCTTTCCTTAACGGGTCTTGGCTCAAGCCATGCCCTCTGCTGAGAATGGAGCTCTCAGTTCTCAGCGGAAGGGCTCCTCACCAGCCTCTCTACGCCTGCATTCTCAGACACACACCTAGTCTGGTTTTTGTTACAGGACTGCTTGTTCCAGAATTACGTCTCTCCAGCAGTCTGTAAGCTCCAGGTCAGTTTCACTCACCACTGAGACCCAATGCCTGGCTTTGTGGACAGTGTGCAAGGTAGAAAGCTATTGAGTGAATATCGGCTGTGAATCTGATACTCGTGAGAGCAGGGTATTTGGCCTCTGAAGGTGGTAGAGAAAGCCCTGAACCTTAGCTTCCAGAGGAGAAAGCCAAGGCCAGACAAGATCCCAGGAAACTTGCACCCCACTTCCCACTTTCCTACCTTTCCTCCTTATCTTCCCCAACCCAGTTGGAAGCCATCTCCCATACTCCCAACACACCAAGATGCCGCTAGGCCAGAAGAGACTGCATGTGTTTATTGTCATTCACAAATGTCATAGAAAACGGAATGTATCAAACAAATCTGGGTTGTATGAAAAGAAAACTCCAGCTTTGTACAAGTTGTTCTATTTACATGTGGACAGGGCTCTCCCACGTCAGGCGCAGCAGCTGCACTTGTCCGATGCCCCTTTGCAGACGCAGCCCTGGGCACACTTGGCACAGCCCACAGGGCAACAGGAGCAGCAGCCTGGGGAAGAGAAAGGGAGGTGAGAGGTTAGTTCAGGCCACACCTCTCCCTCCCAAACAACAGGCTGGGCAAAAATTCTGCCCCAAACCAAGGGGCCAAAGTATTAGAAGTTCCAAGGCATCGAGTAGAACATTTGGGCACTATGAAAAGGCTGCCCTGTTCCCTCTGAGCCCAGACCAGGGCAGAGTCTGGTGCGGGAGTGACCATGAGCAGAGCTCATAAGCCTCAGGGCACAAATGAAGGCCAGTCCTCCTAGAACCATATACCCAATGAGCAAGGCCTCAAAGATTAGAGAAGGGGACAGCACTACAGAGGGGCAGCCTCTGGACCAGCAAGGCCTAGGCTGACTATACAAAAAGGGCTGCATTAGCAAGTCTGAGAAATCCCACTTCATCCAGAAGCTCAAAGCTTCAGATCCTAGGAGACCAGGAATGATGCCGGGG